GGTGAAGGTGAATCCACAGATTGTCAAAGGTTACAACTACACTCCCTGGAACCAACATGGAAGTGTGAACAAATGGTTTTCTGGTTCAGCCTCTAGATCTAGGATCCATTGCCACAATGATTCATCGATCATGAATAGTTGTTGCCCCCACCCCGGCAAAATGAATCTGGTCACCGCCAACGTCTGCGGCAGGAAGAAAGGCAACAAGTCCTATAACGGAAGTGTGGTCAGTGAATTTGCTGACTAGAATGATTGGGAATCCTCCTCTGTTTGAGGCTTCTCGCACCTCATCTCCATGGCCCGTTGTGCTCGTTGTGCTTGATTTTCCCGGACGAGCCGCCGCAGCATAGGCCCAGCTATCCACAGCCTCTGCGGTAAGGACGTGGTCATTGCGATTTGGAGGTCAAAAGGTCACGAAGATCCCTGCAGTGGGTGAGTTCGCCCACCATGGCTTGATACTTCTATGTGCTTCTGGTGTCTAGGGCGAAGAACACAGGGTGAATGAAGGCCTAAATGGCCTGGTTTCTGTCTTGCAAATCAGAAACCACAGGGACCAGGGGTGTTGATGAAAAAACCCGAGTTAGTATACCAGGACCAGCATGCCCTTCGCAAATACAACACAAAAAAATAGACATCCACACAAGGAAAAGCAAAGCACTATCAAATCAAAAACTAAATCCCAAACAGCCTATGTCTGGAATATCTACACTTGTGTGTTTCTGTCTCTTCCTGGAAAACTGTTGAAGAACAATGTCCCTGTCCGACTTCGTCTCTGCAGTTCCCCGCTCTTGGAATCTTCAAGCTTTGTTGCCACGCCGCATTGCACGTGGGTTCCCACCGACCATCACGCATGCGCCAGCGCCCACCGCCCGTGCGGCCAATTCAAGTGCCACACCTGACGTTGCTCCCGCAGCTGCTGCAGCAAGTGGCCCCTCTGGGGCGCAGGAGCAGCGCCTGAGAAGCTGATGGGGGGGTGATGACAGGTGTAGCTGGGGAAGAAACCGGCCGAAAGGCAAACCCACAGGTACTTCAGGTTTTCTACCTCATGATGTGGCGAAAGAGCTGGATCAAATTGTCGCTAAGTCTTGTCGTAGCAAAGCACTGAAACAAAAGACTTTAGAAAAGAAACGCTCTGGGGCAAGCATGAAACATATACAGTAACGAGAGACAGGCCCAGGCCCAGCAGGAAAAGCGAGCAGGAGTGAAGGCGGTTGGCAATGGCAGGCAAAAGTGCCCGTATTAAATAAGTTTGATCCAAGCGACCCACTCTCAAAAGGCTCTAAGGCATCACGCCGATTACACTTGGTTACGCTGAGGCATCGCTGTGGTTCTGCTACTATGCTGAGTATAGCAACCCTTCTGCTGTAAACTTACCTTCTCTGGAAAAGGTTGGCCACTTGGGAAGCACCTTGTTTTGGTCACCGCTCTGGAACAGCTTTTTCAACAGCCACAAGCGCTGTGGGGGGGAAAAAACAACCTGAAGAAGGTTTCACCGAGATGGCCTGGCCAAAAGCGTTTAGGATCAAGTTTGCCTTGCAACACCTCTAAAATGCCCCAAGCAAGGTAAACTTGAGGTTTAAGTTGATGTTTAGGATCAAGATGATGTTTAAGATTGCTGCAAAAACTTAAACATCGAAGGTGGCTGTCAAACCAGAACTTTGTTTTACCCTGCGGTGCCAATGCGTTTGCTGAAGATGCCACCACCAAAAAGAAGAAGGGACTCTCCCGAAAAGATTTAGACAATGGCAGAACGTTTTGGAAATCTCTTTTTCTTTTATGAACTCGGGTGGTTTTCCACTTCCATGTCAGTGAGTCAAAGGGTAGACTCTCGAATAAGTCGAAGATCTCGGAAGCTTTAGGGCTAGGATCGGCCACCTGAGATGGACGCCGCACATGGGCTCCACACCCCACATCTCCCCGCTCCAGGCTGGGACGCCCAGGCGGATTAAGGTGCTGCTGCTGACCACATCAGGCTGCAAGCTGGCCTCGGGTCGCTGACATTTGGACGGGCCTTTTAGGCACCAGGTGGCCCAGGGCAACAAGTCCATCTATGAGGGACTTACGGGGATTCAACTCTGTGTCCTCCACCATTTTCTGAGAGATGTTACTGTAGGTCCTGGATCGAAACCTCCCTTTTTGCCACACATCCGAACAAAATCAGAGTGGAGGCGCCGATCACTGACCCTTGCTTACTTTAATCGATAGATCGACGATGACATCTAATCGCTGTATTGACACCCCCTACATATCCCAGATGCTCCATGTATCTTACCGCCACATTGACCCCTGAAATCAAACACCCCAAGATGTATGTAGATCTAATCCAGTCCCACACAGGTCGCGTCTCCCCCAAAACACTTGGGCAAACCGCCCGGCTCGGCGCTGACGGACTCTGCGCCGGGCTCTGTCCATGCGCCACCCTGCTCTCTGGAATGACTTCAGCGGGTTTTTCAGTCTTCACCGGTCGTCAAGACATGTGACATCATGTATACGGCAATGGGTCAGCCATGGCAGCAGGGGACCTATGGCTGTTTGACCACTGAAAACTGAAAATGAACAGAATCAACTGCGGTTAGGTGGTCAACTCAGGAGGGTAGAAATGGCCAGGTTTTGACCCACTGCCTCATATCGATCGACTCATCTGATATAACCCCCCCCCATCTGATGAGGCTTGGAAAAATCCATGTTCGGGGTGATGTAATATATATATATAATACATTCCCAAAAAGAAAACATACCCTACAAGTCCTTAAGTATTGGTTCTGTATGACAATCTCCAGTAAAATGAGGTCTTTGACTTGTAGGGATATATACGTTTTAGATCAACCAGTCTACATTAGCTCAACAGGTGCGGCCAAACCAAACACGACCCTCCTGCTGCTGGCACCTGCGTCATGGCGCACAGCCACTCCCTGGCTCTCTCCGAATCCCCCGCTCGTGCGCAGGCGTCGCACCTGGGGCGGTCGCACCGGCATCCGGGGCCGACCAAACGACCGGCCGGACCGGGGTAGGTCTAAAGCCAAAGTGAATTCCTCACAAATCCGAAGACTACAGCTGAAGGATCGATTTTTTCCCTGACATTAAGCATACTAAGGCTCATCTACAGTGCTATAGGGAAGAACTTGAAGGTCTTGAAGATGGAGGAATCCCCCTCCAGGACCCTCCCAGGAATTGGGCCCCTACATCTCTCCCAGCCAAAATGTGGCTTTGATGTCCTTTGGTTTTGGGGTCGGGGCACACCAGGAAGCCAAAGGGTCTAAACTGAACGCGGTCAGCTTATACCAAAGCCTCTTCTCCGCCAACCGTGGGTCTGACCCCCTAACATGGTTACGTGGATGGCATGGTCCCGCAAGGAAGACAACTACTCCACTTCCCATGGAAGTGAGTCAAAGAGTAAATGAATCATGGACTCTGAAATGCTTCATCAAAAGTATCCCCGGCTCCCGCTCTGCCACGCTCTGCCAGGATGCAAGGAGTTGTAGCCTCGCAAATGTGCTTTTTCTTCGGTGAACGCGTGCGGATTCCGACTCCTAAACGTGAGAACTTCCTTTTTTCAACCCATTCAAGGGATCAAAGGCTGAAGATCTCTAGTGCAAGGTGCTTCGATCGGTGTTTTCTTCAACTGGCGAAGCTGTGAGGGCCTCATCAGTTTGCTCGTAGAAGCACAGGTCCACCTACCATCCTGAGGGGAACCAAACGATTTGCATCTGGGTCCGAACACCCTGCACCAAAAGGGACGTGTATTGTAGACTGACCTTAGGTGTGTACTCATCCAACCAAGAGAGGGATACCGTAAACTTTGCAGAATCTTCCACCAACCCATTGCTATCGAACTATCTTGGCGGGGAGTGATCCAAATTCCATGCCGCCCAATTCACCATTGATCAGCCATTCACCATTGATCGGTTCTTTTTGTTTCTGGGAACTATACCAGGTGCACTATGGGTAAGTTTAAACTGCTTCAGCTCTCATCAAGGATCAGTAGGTTCTCTCCCCCGCATGGAATGCCGAGAATTGGTTCCCTCGCACCTGCGAACTGAGCAGCTGATGGTATCCGGTTGCACCTCCGCCTCCAGCATAGACCGGAAGGCACCTTCTGCCGCCGCCAGCGCTCCCGCCGGTCCAGAGTCGGAGACAGACTTGGCACAAACCTTGATCAGGCTGTTGAAGCCTCAGGTGGTGCCGGTCCGGCGCTCCAGTGCTGTACCAGGCTGTGTTCTTCTCTGATCAACCAAAATGCGTAACGTATGTTTGAGACCTTTTGGAGGCTGGCACTGTAGGCTACAAAGGATTGAGACACTGGGGAAAAGAACGGTGAGAGAGCAAGACATCCAATTGAACTCACTGGGGTTGCCATAGCAGCTCTCCATATGGTCTGTCCCATGGCTACTGAGTTTCAGCGGAGACCGGGGAGGCTGGTGGGAGTTCGCATGACATGATCTCTGGCATGGAGACATGCATGTCGGTATGCAGAAATTGATTTGTGCGTGCAGTGTGTAGCCTCTCTCTCTATCTGCCTGCATACTTTTGAAGAATACAAATATATACACAGTATCAACTAGTCCTGGAGACTAAGCCACACCCATTCCAAGAGGAAACTGGTCGCTCGTGCAATGGTGTCCAAGCTCCTCCATTGCCGTCGTCATTGAGGATGTAGGTGAACACGCAATCTCAACAAAATCTGTCCCACTCGAGAGCTGTCCAAAGAGCCCTCGAACAGACATCACCATCATAGCACTCAGCATTGCTGAGTTGGCTGCCAGCTTTCGTGCCGTTGAGGGTGGCACTCCATGCTTCTTTCCTCCTCCAGGACCTGGAAGTGGCAATTGCTCCTCCACCAAGTTGCCCTGATGCCGACTGGCGCTATCATCTCGCTGGCTGCCTTGAAACTGAATGGCACTTTGGACTTCCATGCTCATCCACTGGAGTCGTAGTGCTCGTAGTGCACGTGGGTGTCGTGGGGCTCTCAACCGAACCCTTCAGCCTTCGCTGGAGACTCTTCAATGCTGCCCAGATGCCGCCGAGCCCGCGTTGGGGATCGCCTTCTCCTCCTCTGATGAGAGGATGTCCACTGGCTCCATCATCTTCTTCTTGGAAATCTTCATCCTGCCCTCGGTCTTGACCGGCGTCTTCGGAAGTTCTGGTGCTTCCTCGGCTGCCTTGGCAATGTGGGCTTCCACTGCAGCCTTGAATTCCTCCTGATCGAGGGAGTCCATGCCAGTCTTCTTGAGCAGGTATTCCGCGGCGGCCATGCGGATCAGGTCGTACTGGGCAATCCCTGATTCCTCGCTCTTCTTCTTCGGACTTGCCTCGTTTGGCGCTGAGGATTGCGCTTCCGGCAGCAATGTCTTGCTCTCCACCTGGGCTCCCATCTGCTTGGCATACTCCTGGAAGGTGAGGTTGATTGCCATGGTCTCCGTCAGACCTCTCTGCGGAGGCCCTTCAACTCCATCACCTTGCCCATGACGATCTTCTCCGTGCAGTCGTTCGCTGACATTGACTGCTGGAGCTGGTCCAAAGCCAGGCGAACCAGATTCGGATGGGGTCCAGCAGACCTTGTCTCCCCATGGCCCTTGGGCTTGACCTCGTACGTCAGCCTGAGTCCACAGCGAGCGCATGTCGACCAGCTCGCGAACTGATTCTGCCGGATCTTGCCCGTCTTGTGGCGTGCATTGCATGGCCACTCTGTCAACCGTGGGTCTTGACTGCCACATGGTTGGAGACGGCTGCTTTCCATCACGAAGCCGGAGTTGAAGATCTCTCAACCTTTGAGCCAGATCGCTAGTGGGCATGGAAGGTGAAGTGCAAGATGCTGTGAACATGTAGATGCCCTTGTCGGGTTCATTCAACTGCTCATCAACTGCCGGGGTAGGTGTCATTGTTGCAAACCACATGTGGGGGTTCTCCATGACAGTGGCTGTTTCAACCAAATCCAAAGAAACATGGTGCGTGTGGTGAGCTCCCATCTTCACTGCATACCACGAGGTCTTCTGAGGATCCTGACCTCGATAGATGAAGAGGTCGTTGTCGTAGGCCAGCATGGCCCCGAGCTGCCGCAAGGTCTTGCCTCCAAGCAGTGGTGGAGTCTGAGTTGCATCATGGCCCAAAACGTAAAAGCTCACTGCACCAATCGAAGTCCCTTGGATGTCCGCTCGGCTCAATGCCTGTGCCTGGTGTCCGTTCCCAAACTTGAACACTGGTCTATCATGAACATCAACAGTGTAAATCAAACCAGACTGTTCGAGCAGCTGCTGGAGTGAATCAGCACCTACAGCATTTTCCGATGCACCTGTGTCCACTATGACTCGTGTGCCTTCGGTCACGTCCGACATGAAAATGCCAGGGGTCACGGACAATGAATGAAACTGCACGGCCTTCCCAGAACTCTTACCGGGTGAACGACCAAATGAGCTGCGGGCGAACGATTTGCCACCTCCTTTGGAAAACCTGTCAGGGCAGTCCTTGTAGCTGTGACCTTGCATTCCGCATACGAAGCACGGACCAAAGCTCCTGCCCTTGCCACCTGAATTGCTCTTGCCGCCAAACGACTTGCTTTTGCCCTTGCCCTTACCAATGCCCTTCGTTGCTGAGCCCTTGCCTGTCGCCGACTCTGGCGCGAAATAGCCACGTGCTTGACGCACACGACGAACGGCATCTCGTGCGTCAGCCAAGGTTCGATTGGCCTCACCTGCAAGGGCGTAAGCCTCACGTAGTTGCTGCTCTGCTGGATCCTGACCCTCTTCATGAGGAATGGACTCATCTTCAACGGCCCACTCCCACTCGCCAGCGTCATCCTGCCAGTCTGAGGTCCAGTTCCAGTATGCTTCTTCCTCACCATCTTCCCATGATGAGGGACCTGGATCGTGCTCCCAATCCCATGGCGCTTCATCGAACTCATCCCAACCAGCATCTTCTTGCTGCCACCAGATCTTGGGCTTGCGGCCCCAATGTTGCGATTCTTCTTCCTCTGCAAACAATGTCCGCAATGCTCGACGAATCTGGAGGAAGCCGGTGCTATTGCCCGTTTGGGTCAATATGTTTTGTTTCTCTGAACTGGTCAGCTTCGCTGCCTTCAACAGGCGATACCCCCTGAGCTCGTCCTCGAAGAAATCAGGCATGTAGGCGGGCTGAGCCTGAGGTGTGGACACCACAGGATCAGTGCGCTCACGCTCAACAAACCGCATCCCAGCCATTGGACTCTGTGAAGGCGTTGAAGGTGGTCCTCTTCCAGTGACTTCCTGAATCATGGGAGGTGCCAACAAACCCCGGTCTTCCCGAGCCCTAGTCAGAGCAGATTGTAACTGCACAAACATGTCCTCCTCTCTGACTAGAAGCTTGGGGATTGACTCACCGGGCAACCGCTTCAACATGTGCCATGCATCAAGCCGCTTGAAACTGTCTGCAATGGGCAATGCTTGTAGTGGAGATTTCCTCAACACATCAACAAGGCGTGATAGCCCATCATCAGCTTCATAGTCATCGGGATCTAGGTGCCGAACCACTGCACGTGCTGGTCCGGTCAACCTCGCCCAAATCCGACTTGCTGCTTGCTGCCTCTCTGAGCTCTTCAATGACTTTTCATACCAGCGGCATGCTGTAGCGAATGCTTCAAACTCAACAGGGTCTCCTGACCAGGTCGGGATTTCAGCTCCTTTGTCAAGCACCATGGCGGGAGCCCCCAGGAAGGGGCTCCGCTACCATGAACTTGGTAGCAACTCCAATCAACAAGCTATGGGCTTGCGCCCTCAACCAACAACCAATGTCAACAAGCAATGTCGACACAACCAAATGCTATCACCGTCCGATGGTGAACAACCACAATGCACAACCGAAGTGCGTCAGCGATCGTTTTCCGTCCTACGTATGTTACATGTTCCACTTGCATTGTTGGCTGAGGGAGGGTGTTTGATCAACCTGAAGTAGTCATAGGATATCATAGGATGACAGGTATCATATAAGTAAACATAAACATAATATGTGTATACCCACCTTACAAATCATTGGCAGCTGCCACATGCCAATGTTGGCTCCGTTTCATCGAATCCAACAAAGGGGAAATTGGACATCTGGCCACCTTTCACCGCCTCCACCCAGCAAAAACACTTCCCGTCATTTTGTGCATCTCAAAACTATCACCCTTGAAGTCCCTTCCTAAGGGTTTTAATCTTCCAACAAAATTTGGATGGACCTTTCGCCCCGTCCCCCCGTCCCCACATGTGACCACATACCATCACATGGCCATCACGTTGTGACGGAGGTGCTGCGAACATTGGGCCGGATGCCGCTGCACTGCAAGCGTTGGAAGAGCTGCTGCGCCTCCTCCGCTGAAGTCGCCCCGAGTCAGGCCACGATGGGCTTCGGGCTGGGCTTCCAATGGCGAGCTTCCATCTATCGGGATGGTGTGCCCTCACCTTCCTCCCTGTTGCAAAGGAGACGGGGTGAACAGAAGACGTCTGCAAAATACCATTTCCGTGTACCAGGACTTGGCCCTACAGGCCACGACCAGCAACTTTGATGTGTTCAAAAGCCTCCAGGGGACCGGATGGGCACAGCTGCATTCATGGAGCCCTTGGGAATGGCCATGATGGGAAGTTACTGATGTGATTGACCAAATGTGGTTGCACAATGTTGTACTGTGATAAATGGAAAAGCAAAACCCTCTACAAATCTTCTGTATTGTGCGAGTATTGTCACATATTGTAAGACTTTTCACCCTACCATGTAACAATCGATGTCGTAGCTTCACTAAGAACCCTTAAACTAGCTTTAATTTGATTCTTGCATTGGGATCCCAGGTGCGAGAACCCTCCGGGTTTTGTGCACACAACTCCAAAACCACAACCAACCTCCAAAAACCATCCAAACGATCCAAACACCTAGTACAGAATACAGAATGAATAGCAGTATAATAAACATATATGAAAAATAGACTAACAATAATGAGTTTATAGTAACTGAATAACAACAACAATCGTAGTCATAGGGATCCTTCTGGTGACTGTCGTCTTTATGCCACCGCCCAAACACGTGCAGTCGCCCCGGGCGCGGTCAGCACCTCCAGCCGGCCTTGGACACTCAAGGCGTCCAAGTACCTGCAGGCGTGTGACACGTCCCGCGCGGCGCGGCGAGGCCTTGCCGGGCGGCGGAATGGTTGGGAGCTCCGATCGTTGAAGATCGGATTGATCAGCTCGTTCGACAAAAAAAGTGACTCTGGAGAAAGACGGACTTCTTGAGATAAGGAAATTGCTGCTTGATCCTGATCCTGAATGATCTCACAGCTCACACCATGGTGCCCCGCCAAACTCGTGGTTCTTCCAAACTTGGATCGAACCATGGGTGGATGGGTAGACGAACGACCCGCCTGGTGGAAAGGTCACTGATTCTGATTGAAGCTCGGGACTCCAAAAGGGTCACGAACTGAAGAAGCGCCGAATTCGTCGCATTTGTTCCACTTAGACTATGGGTTCGACCAAAGTGCACTCAGAAGTGGGTTCCCCAGCTGCTATAGCCAGAATCATGCAAGTCCAGTACTTGTTTGGAAAGTGCTAGTGCTGAATATGGCATCACAAGCCATCATGGAGATGATTGCCTGTTGCGTTTCCTGTGTTTCCCGGGATGGCGTACTTTTGTTTCAACCATGCATGCATACTATTCATCCAAGTGTGTTGGCCTTTGTTAAAGGAGTGCGGGGGATTGATTCGTCGGTGGCCATACCTACAAGGAGCGTAAGGACAGCAGTTTTGGTCCAACAAAGACTTGATGGTATATAAATTTATGATAGAATTTATGCTCCAGGGATCCAAGTACCTCCTCAAAAGGTACTTGGACCCTCCAAACCCACCCCAAGCACCTTCTCAAAGGGTACTTGGATCCTTAGGGATGAGTATATGATAGGATGTTGGGTCATTGTATGATGAGGTCACGCCGGGTCCCTCTTCACGGCGGCGGAAAGAACCGGCACTCTGGGTAGCTTTCGGCACATCGAGTAGACGACCCTTTTCGCAGCCTCTTCGGCTGTCAAGGCGCTTTGCTCAAATACTAACAGACAATTTGGGCCAACCCTTCTTTCAACTATTAGTTGGAGTGATGGTGGAGTCTGGAAAAACCACCTAAAAAGCGACCCTGCTATAAAGCGACCCTAGCATCACAGAAGAACTAAACCACTTGGCCATGTTCTTGACCATGGTCTTCTTGGTTTTTTCTTGAGAGAGGTACCCAAACAAATAACACCCCGCTTGGGAATGTATCTGGGATTCCCTATCAATTTGTCAATTGAGTGCACTTGGTCCAAACTCCTTGTCCAATTCTCCTGGCTGAAGTCAAAAACTCAGTTTAGTCTTAAACCTTGGGAACTGGAACACTACTGGCGCCATCCACCCTCGGCCACCCTGATGCAATCCATCGTGTTCCATCCGTGCAGGTCAGGCGACTGATTGTATCCCACGATGTCAGGTTCAATTCCTGGCGTGTTTGCATGCCAGAACGGCAAGCGAGTGATGGCGACACCAAGTCCAAGTCATATCGTCGTTTTGAACGCGTTTCTTATTCCCTTCCTGTGTGCCTTCCCAAGCCGAGCATTGTCCATTCTCCCGTTCCGTCCCCTTGTTTCATGGAATGTCTTGGACATGAGGGATCCTGATCTATATCAAACCACCTATAAAACACCCACAACTTCACTCCAACTGGAAGTGTTCAATCACTAATGCAAACTGTTGATTGACCCTCTGCCACCAGAATGGTTTGATTTGACATCCCCATCTGGAAGTTCTACTCATCAACCGCCAACATTACTGATGAATCGCCTTGATCCCTGTTCGACGGAAGGGGCCGATCTGTTCTTTCAAGAAAATGGCCTCAAATTGGCCTCGATGACCTGAGAGAAGGTGTGCTTCCCATAACCATGTAAAATGAAGCACCCCAGTTTTCCATATGGAACTTCCATACATGGTACCAGAATGGTTTGATATTATTTGACCCCCCTGCCCAGTCTGAAAGCAACACAAAACGGTTGCATCCAACAAAGTTCGTGGAGGCAACAAGACTGTTGGCCCTGTGCATGGTTGAAGGGACTTTTGAACATAAGAGGTATGATTTCTGTCAAGTTCTGTGGTTGCTTAGAGGGAACTTCCCCTATAAGCAAACCAAAGCTTGCTGATGTTATCTGGAATTGGACATTACCCTCTTTCGGGGCAGCTGCCCTCCCTTGTTGCTTTGAGAGGGCACGAAACCTGGCAGCCAGGCCAGTCGCGCTGCCCCGCATGTTCATGCACGTTTATGATGGTTCAACGAACCAGTTCTTGCCAAAGTTCGGTACCAATTCCTTTCTGAACCCTTAGGGCTCGGATACCTCCTAGTCGGATGGTCGAAGGAGGTGAGGAACCGTACTTCCACAGAAGGGTCGTTGCCTGGAGGCCAAAGGACATGCGAAAAGGAGGTACCTGGACCCTATGGGGAAGGCTACGCCCTCTCAGAGTGAACTCCGGCGCCAAGCTGCCTCTTTTGCCCGTCTCCTCGAAGAGCCACCGAGCGCCGGTGACCTGGGAATCACGCACGAAGCAAGAAGCCAATCCCAGATCATCCATGGGTTTTGCAATGGCTACCTGCAGGTGGATGGGTCTTCATGAAGTAAATGTATGGTTTCGATTCCAGTCCGGGAATTGGTGGTATTTTCATGAGGTTAATTTGGTGAATGTTGAATGTTTGTATAACTTATATTGCAACTATTATAAGTCTTGGCGATGGTCTGTGAATTTGTGAGGCAAATCGGATATCGCCTTAGAAGCCTGGTATCTCTCTTAGAGTGCCTTTCAGTCACGGAGGTCTTGTTTACAATCCACCTACTATAAGTTAAAACATTAAACATACATTATCCTTTATATGGCCTGCACAGTTCCAGCAAAGGCACTAAGTCGCCCGAGACGAAGAATGCTCGCGCCAACCTCAGCCGAGGTGATCGAGAAAAAAAAATCCAGCATGATAACATATTCATAAATATTCCCTAAGGATCCCAAGTACCCTCTGAGAAGGTGTTTGGGGTGGGTTTGGAGGGTCCAGTCGTACCTTTTGAGGAGGTACGACTGGATCTCTAGCAGCAGCAATGAAAAAACTCCTGTCCCAGGACCTGACGTGACCTCTTCAGGATTGGGCCTATACGTGACCAGGCCATCAAGGCCTATGGACGTGACCGACCCGCCACTGGGATCTCCAAGTCGGTCACTGGGAAGGTCCTGGTCTTCGACTCTTTCCAGCTGTTGAAGGGCTACGAAGGGCTCCGAACCACACGGAACGTCGTGGGGTGAGGAATCAGCGGTTCGATGGAGCGGTGCCCCACAGATGGGGGTCCACACGTAAGAACCACTACCAACAGAGGTTGAAGGACCCGAACCAGCCTATCCCAGTTGGGTACCCCAGTAAGATCCTATAAGGTCACTGGCTAGCCTCTCTTGGTAAACTTGGACATGTGTGCCTTTCATTCCTCAGAACCCACTATAAAACTTCCAAAGTGGTTCCTTTGGTGGATTCTACAATCAAGTATGGGTGTTGTGGATTTGCGGTGATGCACTGGTCTGCTGGGATTAAATCAACAAAATGTCAAACAGCACAACGTTTCTTATTTGGCATTACATGTTCAATCGCGCACTTTAACATGGCAAAAAGGAGTAGCTCCCGTGGGTTTGGGCCTGGGTATGCTTGGGCGTCGCTACTTTGTTTCACTTCAGCACCGTCCCACCGTCCCTAAAGTAGACCCTGTCCCATGTAGACCATGCTTTCCACTCGAAAGTTGCCTGTCACCAGGAATTCGGCTGGACCAAAGGGCGGCCCGCAAGTCACGTCGCTGACACGCCTGTGAATTGTAGACTTGCAGACCTGCTAACCAATCCTCAAAGTGTCAAGGCCTTTTGGGAGGCAACTGCTGGTGCTCTAGCAGTTTGCATCACTTGCACCTGACTCCGCTTTGGCACCAAGCCAATAACACATCTGGTGGACTTTGGTGGTGCACAAGCTGCAGTGAACGATTCTGATCATTCTTGGGGCATTTGCATTTCCCAGCGTTTCACCTGCCCAAAAATGTAATGTAGACTCTTGATTCTTGATTGATAAAACCTCCGAATTGAATTGCAAATCCTCTTGAGGCCTGGGGAGGTGAGTATATGTTTCAAGAGTCTACCAGGACCCTCCTGTCGGGGTGTCCTGGCTGGACTACCCCACACTACCGGCTTCCAAACAGGGCACCCCGACAGGAGGGTCCTGGTACATGTGTCTGAAAATGGGACATCCCATCCGCCTGGGCGCATATTGTAGTGGTCCACGTCCACGTGAAACTTCTTCGACAGCCGGTGAAACCAATGCAGCGCTCGTGCGGTGTCACCCACCTGGTGGAGTCGATGCATCGGTGAAATGTTTTGGGAAGAAGCTATACTAGTAACCAAGGGGGCGTCGCTACGAACGGAGCAAGCAGCAAGCATGCTACGAACGTAGCTCCTGGCCCTGGAACAACTGCCAGGAGCGCCCCTACAGTAGTAGCATTTTCTTGCTCCGTTCGTAGCGATGCCCCTTATTACTAGTAGCGATGCCCTTGTTCCTAGTAGCTTCTTGTTACCAGTAGAAATGCCAGGAGCTACTGGTCCTCTCTATCCCTCTGTAAGTGGAACTTCTTCTCAGTACCCAAGACATTTCATGTATAGTTATCCCTATACACTGACCCCTTTTCAACCATCCCAATGACCCAATGTATGTAAAACATGGTTAAAAAAAACTGTGTAAATATGCTATGCAGCGTATTAGGGGAGCCAACACAAGTCCGGACACGGACGAACGCGAGTCTTTGCCACCGGTCCGGTGATCCAAACATATCCAAACCGGCGTTCCGGTTTCAGGTCTTCGTTCCCGTCACCCGAAGGCACGGTCCGTAGGCCGTGTCGCAAAACCATGACGTGAAGACCGGTCGGTTCCGCGTAGACATGTTCCTCATGGCCGGCGGGTGAAAAACGAACCGCCCAGTGGCGCGAGCTGCTCCTTCGATCAGCTTGCCGAAGGTTTTGGCATTTGGTTCGACCTTTTCCTCGGACGACCAAGCCGTGGCGCCGCGTCTGTGGTCATTCCGGACATCAGACCCCTTGTAGCACTTCCAATCAGTGGATATCCTGGTCCGGCAGACCGATACACCATACTACACCCGTCTCAGAAAACCGAGGGCCCCAGGGTCCCGTGATGGTCCTGGTCCCGTGATGCTCTGACCCCAAATCCTTCCTTATGACTCTAGGTGAAACTAGGTTTTGGCATCATAGGCAAACCGTTGATGCCGATCGCCATCGCGTGCTCAACCTAAGCAAGTGCAAACTGGATATGAAATTGTCCAAGTTGATGCCCCATGAGGGGCCACATGATGGGAACATAGGGGAAAGGGGCACTTCTGGGACTGAACCTACCAGGTGACCTGCCTGATTCGACTCCTCCTCCAATCCCCCTCACACAAAAATACCCATCAGAACGATGCTTCACACGCGATATCACACGCGAGAAACGACATGCACAGCCTTGGTCCTCAAACCAAGCCATGCCTTCCACAGCTTGGACACAAAGAATGTACCGCGCTCAAAACTAACATGGACCCTGAAAACCACTAGTTTGTACTGGAAAACAGCCTTTCAGGGTGCCATTTGGCCCAGTCCATGTTAGTTTTCGGGAGTGTACCCACTTCCACGACCAAACCCAGCGAGAGAACCCTCTCCAAGCGGTGATCGTTGCAAACAGAGTCTCGGCTTCCATTTCTTCAAAGAACTGCCTCGGATTTTAGCGGTTTTTTTGCGCAGTTCAATTGCACACACCAAAGACCCAAAAGACCTGGAATCCTTTCTGGTTTGTAGGTAACCATCTGTTCCATGGTTTTTCTCTACAAATCGAAAACACACCTCCCATCCATCCTTCATCAACTAAGTGCTGAAAGAAAAGGCCTCCACCCATGACCTGAGTGGTGATGAGGGGTCCTCTCGAGTCCTAATTCGGACGTCAGAAAGTCATTCAGGACTTGGTCTGTCAGGACCCTTGGTCTTGTGACCTTCTTTGGAGTCTCTGCCTGTGACCTGAACAAAAAGCAGGCAGGCCTACATAAGTGACCTGGATCTCAAGGACGGTCACTGACGATGGGTTCGGCTCAACCATCTGAAGACATCTGATCCAGTTGCTGATCCAGCCCGGGCAAAAAGATCTATATAAGAAGTACCGTTGCTTTCCCTCTCAGGTGGCTCACAGAATAACTTGAAACATGCTCAGCCTGCCTGGAGAGTGTTTCAGAGTGTTTCAGGAGCTACGGATTCGAGGAACGGATTCAGCTTGCTGGAAGTTCCATTCCACAAAGCTTGGGTTTGCTCTACCATAGATCTCTACATCGGCATGCTATATATATATATCCTTTCAGCATGGCATGGTTCATCCTCTCGTGTCGGTTTCAGCACCTGTCAAAACCACATGCCAAATGATTGACCGAAAAGCACGTACTAAAGATCCAACAACCAGTCCAAGGGGCTCAGCGGACAAAGTCTCTCCAGCATTGGCCAGAGCCTTGAGGAATGTGTTGCAAATCACGCGGTTTTTTGCACCCCGCCTGGCAGAAAGTTGTGTTCGGGTGCTGGGAGCTCATGCTATCGTTATAGCTGCTTGGTCATGGAGCCGCTCGCGAAGCTGGCCCCACCCCCAAAAAACCCTAGGGCATTCAACCACGTCCTCAGAAGGTGAACCAGTCTCTCCGGAATCCTTCCCAAACACGAACAATGGGTTGGAATCTATGCCGATCTCTCTCTCTCTCTCATTCCCAAACACGAACTATGAGACTGTCATATTTGCATATCATTGGGGTGGTTGAAAAAGGGGGGGTCAATGGATCAGCATAGATTCCAATCCATTCTCATCCCACGCTTCGGGAGTGGTGTTAGGTCAATCCCCACCTAACACCACTTGCAGCTCATCCTCCCAGTACGTGAAGCGCCTTTTTTTCGGGTCAACTCGCCAATGTGACCGGCGCCGACTTCGGACTCTTTTTGGGAAGTGGAATGGGACTAATCCATGGATTGTTTGGGACTCCAAGAATACACTCCCAAAAAACGAACATGGACCCAGAGTGCATCCATGGCCCTCGAAAAACGTTGTTTACCTCGACCAACCAGTGGTTTTCAGAGTGCATGCTGGTCTTCACTGAGTCTTCACAAGGGGGTACCTACATTGGGAAACATGATGAAAATGAGACTATCAGCACTTGAATGATGAATACACTTGTTTACATGATGGGTACAAAAGGCTCTATGCTGAATCAAGGGAATAATTGTCGCAAATGACCAAGTGCAATATGGCAATGACGTTTCCAGTGTCCTTTCCCAAACACGACCTCCGTCTGCGACCGGCGAAAAGGCCACGGGTGGTTCGGGGATAGAACGAGGTTTTATCTTCCACGATGGTCTGAGGGATGCATTTGGATTGGTATACGGTCAGTAGTTCATGTACGCTTCGGGGTACACCAGGTTCCGAGAGTCACATGCGAACCGGGCTTAACGGCATGGACCGAAATGGAAAAACGATCGAAGCCTCAGACCAAGCCGACCTGGTTTTTCAGGGTGCTTGTACTTTGCGCCTTCCCGGGATTAGAGGCTTCTGAACTTGTCTGCACACTAGGTCCACTAGGTCCACATGTTGCGAGGCCTCGCATTTGTTCGTCCACATTTGGCACATTCCAAAGCTCTGCTTTCTCTTGCCGGTGGCCAGCGGTTTCTTGAAAGATATTGAGACGATGTGTAGGGAATCAATGATTTTCCTCTCAGGATTCAACTGATCCCCCAATCCATGCTCTTCCTGTAGGTTGGAACCAATTGGATATAGATAACATATGACAATATCTATTCTTGTACATAAATATAATATATGATAATATATACTATATGTATATATGTATAGTTATATGTAGATACACGTCTACTTGGGACATCTCTTCTCAAACCACACATTCACCACCTTACTTTCCCAGGCCATTTTTCCATGCTCATGCCTGTGGCTGGTCGCGCCGGCAGCGTTTTGCCACCCGCCACGCCCGAACATCCAGAGATGTTCTCCAGCTATCGGTGGGATGGGGCCAAACTAACACCCGGACATCAGTGTCTGAACTCAAATGGGTGTGCAATGGAAAATGCTACCTAAACTTAAACACTCCGTGCATGTTACCTAAACTTCACCAGGATAAGGAGACCCGCACCTCAACCCCTCTTCTAAGGAACATAGACCAATCTACCTCTTCTCATTGGGCCAGGTGCTGGGCAAATCGACCACCGATGCGGATGGGATGGGATGAAACCATGTTCTATCTCACGCTTGATTTGGCGTAGCCTCAATATGTTCAATTGCTGTCAATTGGCTAATTATGCTGAAGGACCTATACCTTCATTCTCCCGGACGAATACGGAAATCCACCTATGCCAGTTTGATAGCGGATCTTAGCCTTCCAGGAGGACATCTTCCTCATGTCCATGCTTTTTCAGGTGAAGCAATCGTGGGACGATGGAAGGTTAAAGCTGGTTAAAGGATGTTAAAGACTAAATGTGCACTGTCCAAGTCATATTGATATACAAATGGAACACACCTCACTTGGAACCACAGGTTGATCTACGAGGTGTTACGACCTTTGCCTGCGCCCCTTAGCTACAACATTGAACCGACATCGAACTGAATTCCTCCAAAGATCTGACGTCCAGCATCCAACCCTTGGTCACCCTACCCACAATCTGCAAAGCCCCTGCACACTTCGCGCAGAAGACACCTATCGCGGCACGTCCGTAGTTAGCCTTTGGCTCAACTGCACGGACAAAAAGGGCGCTCAACTGCCATTGCCCGAACTGGCACAGTCTGCCCGGTCAACCAACGGGAAAGGAGCCTAAACATCTCAACTAAATCTGGTTCTCAATATAACTGCACCACCCCACAGATCTATCAGGACCCTCTGAAGAAACAGGCAAGGCTTTAGCCTCAAGGAGGCTTTTCGACAAAGGGTCCCACAGCACAGCCTCAGCAGCCAGCCTAGTCCTGCACAGTTCATGCCTCGAATCAGTTGAACCATGATGAACAACTTGCTAAGGGAAAAAAGACACTAATAACGCCTATACATATCTATACATAATGATTGTTGTAGATAGGATATGGGACATGTTCTGCAAACTCAAGCATGTGCTGTGAAATCTTTGCTTGTGTAACATATCCACCATGCCTCCCATGATGACTGGACGGCACGGCGCCGACCACCACAAACAAGCAATGACTCCCATGATCTACACTGGACTCATCATTGAACTATGGAAGTGTAGAAACGGAATTCGGATTCCATGGCCATCCTTCCGGGATGATGCGGAAGGCCACGGAACCAGATTCAATGATCCTGATTAGCATGTTTATGCATATCATATATTTACATACATTGGGGCGGTTGAAAAGGGATCTATGTAGCCACATATTACATACATGGAGCATTTGGATAAGGGTGTTGACGTCGCCATTGGCGGCCCCCACCTCTTGATCAAGGGTGGCTCGTATGTGTGAAGAAGTCCTGATGTGGAGGGGCGGCCATGACACAACGAACATACGATCATATATAAACCAGCAGTCACGTTCGACGGGGTGCCAAACGAACGGAAGGGATAGGGGTGCCCAGAACATCACAAATGGGACTGAAAACCTCCACGCGACTCATTCCTTTGTGAGTCCCTTTTTGTGTTCTTTTTGTTGCGCTTGTTGACTACATGAGGACAAGTGGCGCCGGAGATCAAGTGCCAAAAAGACGAGCTCCAGGTGGAGCGATGTAAAACGAGCATTTTCATTGGAGGACGCATGCACTTCAAGTCCAGTGACCGTGACAATGTGGTAAACCACCATCGAATGAGAACCACAGAAACAGCACATTGACAGGTTTGAAAAGCATTCGGGATGTCCAACACCAATGACTAAACATTGCTACGATATTTCTCTTGGTTTTTGCCGAGAGCCTTGAGTGACCTGTGGAAAGCCGTGACAACTCCTGATGACCCATCTGACCACAAAGCCAGGACTAGATCACCAGGGCTATGGGCCAAGTTTGCAAACCTATACAGACTAAAAGCCATCCTGCAATCCCACGCGAGAAAAACCACACCTAATTGAGAGCCTATATAAGATGTCTGGGAGATTCTGGGAGTGTTGCCAGCCCATACTAAACTGGCCATGGAGAAGTCATCTACCTTTAGTTGAGGTACCACTTGCGAAGATACACAACAAACTGTTACAGCTCGCCAAATATCAATCCATGGGGAGGGACCCTTTTTCCAGAACCGCATCCAAAAACTTACTCTCCCTGGAACTAACATGGAAGTGGAAAACCACTTGTTTGTAGTGGAAAATGGTCTTCCAAGGGGCCATTCTCCACTTCCATGTTAGTTCCAGGGAGTGTAAGTAAACAACCTGGAAACCCAAACAATTTGTGGTCTGGCAACTTGCAACTCGGAACCTGAGTAAAACAAGGTCATGTATTGGGGACAGGTGGAGTATGTAGTGAACGAAAAGGGCACTTGCTTCCTCTCAGTCACCTTCCAACTGGATTTTTTGGGGTCCTTGGACTTCTTGTGCGGACAGAAAGTTTAGAGATTCACATGCCTGAGGCAGATCAACGGAGCGTGGTTTTGGTGGAACTCGTCACACCTACCCCTCCCGCTTCAAAAGAAGCATCGGCCTCATACAATCTCTTCCTGGAAGACCTGACGTTCTCCTCCTCGGCGGGATGGTCCCCGGGTTGGGGCAGTCGTGGTGATTGTTAATCGGGTGTTGTGGGTCACGAAACAAACTCACCAACTGCCCAAAGCGGCCCAGGGTGGACTCGAACGATCAAATGCATGTGCTGGCCTGCCAAAGCGGTAAAGTAAGATGACGCCTCCTCCAGTGGGCAGCTGGTCCAACTACTTCATGTTTATCTACTTTTTTTCCACCACGGAACTTTCAAACACGGATTTTTGCGCCCTCTCGTGACTGCATGCTATCAGAAACTTGGAGCACACTGATTGGTGGACTGATCTTGAACTGTCTCCTAGTTGGCTGGCTCTTGTTGCGCGCGCCGTGGCTAGCACAACCAACACACAAGCTGGAGAAGCAGCGCGCACATAACTAGTCACCAGATCTCGCAACACACATGCCCATGTATCCAACAACTTCTGACCCGGAGCGTCCAACAACGAATCCCCCCAGCGGCGTCAAGAAACCCAAACCAAAAGGCAGCCTCGCCCCATCCTCTAAGCCTGAAGACCTTGTGGACTGGAGACAGTCCCATGCTGTCTACGTGCAAAAGGCCTCATCTCATCCTCCAGTCTCTTCACCCACTCCATACACCCACTCCGCCTCTCCAGCCGAGCATCGTTTCACCGTCAAGCGTGCGCTTCCCAAAGCCGCCGGGCTCATTTTGCCGGACCCCGCGCTCTTGCCTTGTCCAGTCGTCCGAGCGGTGTCCGGTGTTTGCATGTGTTTTTGGTTAAAGAAAACAAAAGCAAACGATACAACCACCAGTTGCTAGCACACTAGCTAAGAAGTCCGGACTGAAACAATATGACT